GTAGGCAATAGCTGTGCTACCCCCAAACTGTTCACAGCAGCTAATAAGGCAAGAAAACATGAACCTGTAGGGCCTTTATAACAATACATTTGTGTACAACAAAGTGCAAATCTGAAGAGCCTCTCCCCTCTCAAAGCAAGAGCCAGTGCCAATGCAATTGCACCACTGATCAGGACAGCTTAAGGGAAAAAGGGGAAAAAAAGAAAGAGATCTGAGTAAAGCGGGTAAAGAGAAATGCAATGATTTCCTTCTGCGTCAGTCAGCAGCCCAATACCTGCGGGATGTAAAGCACCGTTCTGCAAGGATAGAACAGTTGTCAAGTAGTGGGGAACTTGGTTTTGACATCACACGTCTGAATGGAGACAGATGGGACATTTCTGCACTCAGAGCCTCCTGCCCAACTTGGGAGCAGCATAATGATGGTGTAACGTTGTTACCAAACCGGGCTGCAGTGGCAGCACTGAGCAGCGACTGCTTAACCGCAGCCAATGCCCTGCACCTGCAGGGTTCACGCCGGTCTGTTTCTCCTCAGCCCTTTCCTCATCTCATTTCTTAACATGTAGGTTACACAATTATTCAGCTGCAAACCAGTTTTGTTTTCATTTTAGCTTACACAACTTGCTTGTTCTCTTTAAACAAGAAAACAAGGTAGTAGTGTTATTTTTTAATAACTTTCCTTGAAATATTAATAATAAGCCAGAAAATTCCAGGGAACAGTTAGTCAAAAATGAGAAGGTTTGGTGACCGTGCATCAAAGGGAAGCAGGATTTACTTACTCTGTCACTTCATGTGTGTGATTCACAAACCGCTTTATGAGAAGAAGAACGATTTGGGAATCACTCAAGTCCTGACATAAAACCAAACTAATAGCAACAACCCAATTTCCATGAAAACAGGCTGGTCTCCAAAGCTTCTGCTGAGACCAGACAGCATTGTGCTTGCAGTTTTCCTTTCCTCTTCAAAGCAGGTAGAACCAGGAATGTTCTATGCCTCATGGCAAGCTCTAAGATGTGGTATCAGACTTTCAGATGAGGGAGTTTTGCTTTACTCCCTGAACATTTCGCACTACAGCAGCAAGGGGAACAGCACAGGCATAGCTGAAACAAAGAGATGGACTGAGAGACAGAAAATGGATTCTGCAGCATTATTCAGTAGGATGGGGAACTGAAAGGGCAACTAAACCAATGAGAAAGAAGATTCAATTGTGGTCCTGTGAGACTTGCACTGAGAGAACAGCCCCGCCTGGTGTCCAGGCCCTTTGCCTATTGAAGGGATCCTCCAACGCAAACGTATTACAAGCAAGAGATGAAGGCCAAAGACACTCCAGGACTTGCTCACAAGCAGCAGCACAGCCCTCCCTGTCCCTGTGAGGTCAACACGTGAAGGAAAAGCAAAGGTGAAACCAAGTTTGGCGCTGACAGCAGGCTATAGGTCATCCTTCCATTTCACTGCGCAGGCCACTGTCAGCACTCTCTCTTGTCATAGATTCATTAAGATTAGAAAAGACCGCTAAGTTCACCAAGCCCAACCATCAACCCACCCCTACCTGCCCACATCCCCCTGTGCCACATCCCCATGGCTCTTTAACACTTCAAGGATGGTGACTCCACCATCTGCCTGGGCAGCTGTGCCACTGCATCATCACTCTTTCAGAGAAATTTTTGTTAATAACGAACCTGAGCCTCCCCTAAACAAGAAGGGGATGCTGTAGAATGGCTGGAAGTGGGATGGGAGGAGGACTCGCAGCTGATGAAGGCTGCAGATTGCAGGAGATGAGACTGGATTTCTCCCCCGTGGAGGCAGGCAGCAGTGCTCAGCACAGACAGCAGCAGCACAAGGCACCTGGTAGGCAGGCAGCATTTAGCACTTCAAAGCCTGCCTTCCTTTTGTGACTCCTACCCCAACCTGATGTATTTATAGCATCAGCAAAACCCCTCCTGCCCAGGTGCCCTAAAAGGGATCATTATTATCATCAGTCTTGCCAGAAAATTACATGGCGTGTTAAAGGCTTTCCTACTCCTGAGGCAGGATTAGGGCTGGTGAGAGCAACGCAGCCAGTGGGAAACGTCAGAGCCCCACTGCTGGGAGATGAGCCCCGAGCTGGGCCACGTGTCCCTGCGTGCAGGTAGGAAGGCAGCCAAGCACAGCCACCTGCACACAGCTGCTGCTTTCCCGGGTGGCAAAGCTCAAACACAGGGCCAGAGCCCACGGGACAGGGCACAGGCAGCCGCAGCGAGGGCAGCACAGCCAGCCCCGCTCTGGTCAAGCAACCGAGCCAAAAAGCAGCTTGAAATCATGGCTGCCTGGTGCACTGCTTCTGCAGAGACAGTGGGGTGGGGTGGAAGGCTGCAAGGAGGGCAGCTTGTTTCCCTCTCTGAGACAGAAAACATCAGTTGCCCTAAAAAATGAAAATCTTCTGGACAGACACTCAGTGTGTTTAAAAAAAAAAAAAAATCAGTTTCAAAGCAGTCTTTCTGAAGGTCTTTCCTGAACACAAAAGGGATAAAGACATGTTATATGCAATGGAAAAACACTGCATGCCTGGCATTTAGCATTTTTCACCTGTGACCCAAGACTCATGTCTATTTAACTCCCCGATTTAATCCGACAACACGTCTCAGGAAGAAAAAACCTTTCAGAGTTTGGAAAGAGTTGGAAAAAACTAAAGCCATGCTCAACACTTCCCCTTCCCTGGAGAGATAGGAGTGCTGCTTGCCCTTTCCTGACGATAAGCATATCCTGGTGGTTAAAAATACATTTGCTCTTACCGTAAATTCTCCATCAGCCAACTCCTTCAGCCCAGCCCACAGTGTTGGGGTTCACAATTCCTCGGAGACCACATGTGACAGAGCCCAGCTTGCACAAGTCCAAACACACTGGAGAAAAAGTAAAAATAACAGCTCTGATCCAGTGGCCGTTGCCTTCACCTGGAGCAGCAGCCACAATCTGTCAACGCCACTCATTACCTGCTCCCTTCCCTATGGAATCTGCATTTGTTTTGACTGACTTTGCAGCAGCTTCCAGACAAAAGGTGAAGGATACAAATTTTGAACAGCAATTCATTCTTCAGTTAGTTTGACAGTTTCCAGTGGTCATCGTGCCAAAGGGCCGAATTAGAAACAGCTTAGCAAGAAGCGGGGCTCCTTTGCTTGATCTGAGTTGCTTGAGAACAGGAGCCAGCTACCTGCTCTGCAAAACACTGCGCTGCCAGCTGGGTGCTCTTCCTCCCCACAACACCTCTCTTCTTCACCTGGAAACCTTGGCCTGGTGGAAGCCTGCTCTGACGCCTGGGCTCTGCAAAGAACACAGATAGCACCTTAGTGACACAGAGCCCAGCACTGCAAACCCAAGGCTGCCTCCCTCCCCAGTGTCTCCCCAGCAGCTCAGATTGCAGCCGCTCTTGCTGGCGGTGCCATGTCCCCTAGCACACTCCTGCCAGGAGAAAGCCAGTGAGATGCTGCCTTCCCAGGTCAGGGTAAAAGCTCCTTTCTGCCAACTACTCTCAAACAACTGTGGGCATCAGACCTTTCCTGAGGGATTGCATCACCAAGTCCCAGGTCCTGTTGTGACACGTTTTGTAGGTGAGGAAGTACAGAGAGGCCTCGTCCCCCTCCTGCACTGGCAACTTCAGCTAAATATTTGGAGAACATTTTGATAAAGGAAGTTTTTCTGTTATTTTAGGAAGAAAGTTCAGGGGGATAAAGAGAAATTTCATCTCATATTTGCACTGTGCACAGAAATTAAAGGAAATCAAGCAGCAGCCTTCTTCCCCCAGACAGCATTCCAGGCTGTGGAATCCAAGTTCACCCTCCTCTGTTTCCAAGAATCAGTAAGACAGAGGAGATACGGCAGAGCCCATCTGCACAGCCACAACCACGGGAACACCAGCAAAAATAGTAAACCAACACCAGCTTCCCTATCACGTCTGCACTGGAGGCCTTGGGCTCTCTGCACCAGTGTGGCTGGCAGTCCAGGACCTGTGCTTCACTTCGGTACGGCTCTTGCGCAACAGAAGGCTTCCACAGAGCAAACATAGCTACCTTTCCTTCCTATCCTACACCATCACCTTTTAGCCTGTACAGCACCCATTTCGGCAGTGTTCTGGAGCCTTCTCACTTCCCTCAGCCAGCCCCACACCTCGGATTTCGTATCCCACCTACCTCACGTTTGACCTTACCTCCATGTCCCTTCATTTAAGAAAAAGCAGGAGGAGCTCTTGGTGAAGTCGTGAGTTTTCCTGAAGACGAACGTCACGGCAGTGCTGAGTTCCCTGCTCCTGTTGTACTCCCACTCGTAGCCCCCACAGCTGTGCCCCTCTTACTCAGCCCACAGCCTTTGCTCCAGGAAGCCGTTTGGCATCTCATAAAGCTCAGCTCCCTGGGCTCCATGGGTTTACGTACGCATGCCATAGTGCAACTGATGGCTGCTGAGTATCTGGCAGCCCTGGAACGAGCACTCTGTACCTGTCCTTGGGAGCTGTTCTGCTTCAAATATTTTCCTCCTCTGTTTTCAAAGGTCTCATGAAAGCAGCAGTGCTTGAAGAAGGCTAACAAAGGCGACTGCAGGGGAGGATGAAGACCTTCAAGCAATTGTCCAAGCTTTTACAGGTGAGCAGAAGCCTCTGCCCTCAGACGCTGCCCCTGGAACGGCCATCAGGACTTGCTGTCAGCAGCACTCACTGCCCTCACAGAGCCCAAGAGGGAGCACTCCCACCTCTCACTTTATTTCCTTCACCTTTCCTCATTCATTTATTTCCTGTGGGTTTTCCTCTTTGATTAAATTTCTGGTATGTAGCAGCTCAATAATAAAACAGCTAACTCATGGGAGATGGAGGATATTTATCAAATCTACTGCATTTCTTTCATTCCTTGTAAGACCTTGAGAGACAATCCTGAACCACGTTTTTCCTTTCTTTTAAAAACAGAAAGAAGAAATCATATGAGCAGTTGACAAGTTTTCAAACCATCAATGTTTTATTTGGTTAGTTTATTAAACACCTTTAAGACAATTAATTTTGGTCTGTACCCTTCTAGAAAATAATTCAAGTTCTGAACAAACCTCCAATACATAAAGCAAAGTTACTTTACCATACGCAAATTTCAGATCAAAATACAGCACTCTGTTTTCTTACATTTATAAAACCCGGTCAAATACAAACGACATTAAAAAAGATAAAACACTTCCACTGATCCTTGGTACAATATTACAGCACAATTTGCACAGTGGCCACTAAGTCTCCAAAGCACAATTCAAACACTTTAAGAAGGGAACCTCCCTTTAGTCACCCAACATCATACTGAACACGTAAACAAAGCGAGCGCTACTTCATCCAGGGAAATTCTCACGTCCCTTTTTGTGTGTTTGAGCCACAAAGCCGTTCTGCAAGTCGTGTTACGGGTGTGTAAGCAAACAGCTTTCTGCTTCTGTTACAGCTTTACGTGCCACCGCTCCATGAAAACAAACGGGTGGAGGTGGGCCAGACTCTGCACTGGGCAATTTATGGCAACTAAAGTAAACCAATAAGCATGTTTATTGTGTTTGCTTTTTGTAAGAACAAATCATAAGTCTCTTAAAAACCAAAATCAATACCGAATGATCTGTGGGTACAACTTGAGGAACTGCCTTTTTTTTCATTTTCATGACATCTAACAGACACAGAGTGTTTTCAATTGCTGAGTCTGTTCCATTTCAAGACCCAGTGTTTCAGCAACAGGTCAAAGTGCCATCAAAATTGCACATTTTTTTTCCAATTATGAAAACATAATAGCATGCAGTGTTTGTTTGCCCAGAAGCTTGCACTTATGCTCACCTATGAGCGATGTGGCATCTCTCATTAAACTGCACTGAGCACAAATCAAAACACATACTGAGAATGACGGAATGGAGGCATCAGACGACAACCATCCCCAGGAAGTTGACTTAGCAAACCTTACAATCACACCTTGAGAAAAGAAAGTAAAATCAGAGCACAAACGGGAGGGTCTGACATACCCAGCTCAGGCCAGAGCTGCATAGGCAGCGAGGCCATTGCACACGCGGCACAGCACAACTCAACAGGTATTTCTGCCCCTCGGTTGTCCCCTATCCTCCCCCCCCAATGCACAAACATTACTTGCAATCCCATCGTAAGCTTCATTATTTCAGCCTCAGTGAAAATGTGCACATGTCCAAATGGAAAACACAGACCGACAGACCTGTTTTGGTCTTCTCCCTCCCCCAAGCTCCCACCAGATCCATTAGGATACCACACAAACACATTCAGAACTTGTTCCTATCTGGTAACATCAGTTTTATCCCAACAAAATGAAGGAGAATTGCATACTGCATAAAATAGCACATATTTAATAATGCTTATGTAAACACTATAGGATGGAAAAATAATATTAAAAAAGCATGAGTGAGGTACAGCAAGAACTCGATTTGCTAACTTAGCCTTTTAAGTGCAATTGAAACACTGCATACTGCCCTTCTCCAAAAAGTCTCTCCACAATTAAGCTACATTACTGGGATTATTCCCTTACAGCTACATACTCATGCTGTAACTCCTTACATTGACTTAATGCAAATAGTTAAGGGGCAAAAATTAATTCACAGGGTTAATTAAAGTTTCTGCAGTATTTAAAAGGAATGGTTGCAAAGGGATCAACCATGGAAAATGTGGTAATGCACGTTTTAAAAACATTTCCAATAATTTTAACACAGAACAGCAAATAGATTTTGAAAAATGCATAGAAACCCTGTCAATATAAAAATCCCCACTAAAATTACACAACTAAACAATTTTAATCTAAATATTTTATGTGCTTTTCCTATAAAGGCCACTTTGACATACAAATACAAAAAAATTTACAGTTTTTCCCCGAAATAAATAATTTGTTTCTCAATTAAGAATACTGAGTATGGAAGCACAACGAACTTCTCGCAGACCAACTGCTCACTGCGTTGGCTGCTTCCAAAGAAGAAAATCGCCACATATTCTCAATTACCCAAAGAAATAAAACACCACCTTCAGACTTGGTACTTCCTAGTGCTATGAAGAGCCTGGGGTTAGGGACGGAGAGGTTCTGGACCCCTCACACCATATGTGCTAGGGAGGGAATATACACAGATGTCTGAAGGGAGATTTGCTGTTTCCCAAGTTACGGAAGAGATGGAAATTAGGGAAAATAAATAAAGGTCAACCTGAATTAAAGAGACAAAACAGTAAGTGGAGTTAGGAAGGAGACGCAGTACGAGGTACCACGGGGTGAGTAAATGCCACGTGTAAGTGAACTGCTCAGAAGGAGGCATGTAGAGGTGAGAGGACATGACAGAGACGAGCGACTCGTGGGATGCAGGACCAGGGGAACAGCACACAGATTGAACAGGGGCAAGAAGAGGAACACAAGGAACAACCTGCACTGGAAAACGGATGCAATGGGGGAACAAAGGATTTTCAACAGTGCTGACCACATGAGCATTTATCCCTGAACGGTGATGGAAGCAGCAAAATCAAACGTGCACATACATGCACAAGCAGTGGAAACAAAAGAACTGGATTTGAGACATGACAGGTATTTGTCACTGTAAGCACCAGCACCACAACAGGACAACATGGGGGACGTGAGCAAGTCAGACCTACCTGGAGTGTGCAGCACACCAAAAATCCTACGGCAAAGAGATGCAAACACTGTGAAGTGGCCCCAACTGACCCAGTGGGTGAGCTGCACTGGTGGATTTACAAGACAAGCTCCAACTGCAACAACACGAGACTGACAGGGGGGTACACTGTGACACCACGCCATTCAGACTCAGAACATCCAGCAAACCAGACAGAGAGAGGCAGGGGCGAAGGAGGAAAACCAGAGCACACAAGTTGATTGCGACAAAGAATTCTTGGGCAGCCATTTAGTACAAGTTCTTCTAACCTTGGACCAAGGACTGGGTTAGGAAGGACACAAGAGCCGTGCTTCTTCTGTACCAGCAGGAATCCCGCTCTCTGGGGCTCTATGTTGCATAGTTTGACTGAAGCCAAAGAGCACTTCTTATTTTTCCCCACTTTTTCACAGAAGAGACACTGCACGCTCAGGTCAGAGCGTCCCAAGGCCTGGCCCTCAGCAATGACTGGGTTTGTTTTTGAGGTAACGCAAAGATTTGGGGATAGGCACGTCAAAAAACAAACAACAAAAAAAGCAAAAGCTCATTCCCACACAGGACAGAAAGACACAGAGAACACATGCATATAGAAAGCCTGTAATAGCAAACATCCATCGCACAGTAGTCAAAGCGTGACAGCTGGATGACGGCAGTAAATCGAGCTGTCCCACTGCATGCCAGCAATGGCAACCAACGAAGTGAGAGCTTCTACCACAACACACAGACATTTCTGTAGAAAAGGCAACAATAAATTCTGACCATATCCTGGCAGTCGCTAATATCTTACATCTGACAGAAGGCTGAGCCTTCACCAGCAGCAGCAGAGTGCTTGGAACGGCATGACACCCCATCGTCCTCCTATTGCCTGGCTCATGGAACACAGGTATCATTAGCTGTTAATCAAGGCGGTTATTTCATTCTCCTATGCTAAAATAAAAATATTTTCATAGTACAAAATTATACTGAATACATTAGTCAGCATTCGCCTGTGCATTTTAATTTGTTAGTCCAATCCTGCAAGATTCCTAGGACTCAATAAAGCAACATACAGAGGCAAAACTCTGAAGGCAGAGCACTCATCTGAATAATGGTACTTTGTTTTAATTTCGCCTTCAAAAGAAAAATCTCCAACTGTCAAGGCTGCTGCTTCAGGCCATTAAATGCTAAGTATACAAAGAGGGAAGTGATTACACGTTTGTTTATTTAATTAAAGAAAAAGAAAAAAACCGGGAGTCAGGCATTCCCAGGCTACTGAGATCTGTACTCATCCACCCTGCAGAAAAGGTTCCAGAGCCTCCAAGCTTTCAGATTTCAGTGCACTAAGAACTCCTTGGATCTCAGCTAACACAGCCCAAAAGCCTTTCCATCCTCCCATGACACGAGGGCAGCGCGGACGCTGTAATTCACTGAACAGCCACCACAGTGCCAAGCTGCTAATTCCAGAGCCTCCTGCTTGGTACAGTCAGCACAAGCACCAGCAGCCCCTTCTTTCAGCCTATTTGTGCGTGCCCAGTACAACACTTGCTACATTCACCTCAATGTTAGGATGAGCTGCCACGTAACCTTTCTGCAGAAGAGTTCCTGTGCAGCATTCCTTCCTTTTGTCTCGACAGAAAGGAAAGAAAGGCAGCACTTTCCCATTACACCTTGCATTATTAAGGCCTTCTGCTGTTAGGAAGCTGTCTAATGAAAACGGATTATTTGTTAAGAAAGCACTGAGTACACGCAAACAATAAAAGCACAAACAAAAGCTGAAATCAGCTTACATTGTTGCTTTGTGGAGCCAAGCACAGCATAACGAAATCAAAAGTATGTTAAAGCAGCACCTTCAGAGGCAAAAAGAGGGAAGAGAGGGAAGCTTTTTTCCCCTAAAATTCTTCAAGCTAAGCAAAAACCCGCATGCTTGAAGGTCCCAAAGAAATGGATAAAAACACAACCCCGGGTATGGCAGGTTGGTGTTCATTTGGGCAGCTTTTCTCTGCAGATCAGTAAATGGGAAACTCCATGTAAGCCCACATTTCGCATTACAGAACAAACTGTGAATCTGTTAGGAAAACAGAGGCTCCAGCTCAGAGGCAAATCAGCACAGAACTGAGGCAGAGCAAAAACCCAATCCGCCTTTAGAAACAGCTGACATCCCTATTTTGAGTTTTCTCTTTATAAAAATCACCAGGTCAGTCTTTCAATTGCTTCTCTCATTTACAAGTATAATAGTTACTTTCAAGTCATAATTTTTATTTACTTTTACAGCAGCTGCAGGTCAACCTTGGTCTTTTCGTTACAGAAACATGCATTTAAAATGAAATTAAAGTAAACTGTCCTTGGACAACGGCATCACTCTGCCCTGCTTCGTGTTTGGGTCCAGGTTTTCACTGAAGGACAAAATGCAATGTAAGAAAAGAAGAGGATATGACAAAGTGCAGGAAGAAAAACAATAAAATGAGGTAGCTGGGAACAGGGGCTTCCCCCCTATGGACCAAAGGCAAACGTGTGCCCAAAAGAACAGAGTACACATGGCGTGATACACATGTCCCACATCAAGGATTGCTCACGGCAGCTCAGGTGATGATTAACCTGCAGACAGCACCAGCTTGATGAGCAGCCGTTTTATCATCTGTTAGCCACAAGCACTGAGCAGGTTGTCAGGGGACGCCAAGATGTGCAGAAAGCAGCAACAGCAGCACTGAGTTTGTGCAGACCTTCTCTGACCCACCGAAGCATTTCTGAGTGATCATCTGCAAAAGCACTTGATCCAAATGGAAATCTGGGACAAGGGTGAAATCAAAGCCATGCTAGTAAGACTGAAAGACAGAACAACCAAGGCCAGAAAGCAGTAGTGCACTGAGGGCATGCACAGGAACCCAGATGTTTTGGGTCAAGGCTTTGGCTGGGCTGACCCTCAGACAGCCTCTCAGGCACCAGGCCTGACACATCCCAGCCCTGCTTCCCAACAGCAGAGGCAGCAATGGGCAGCATCACCCCAGCTCTGTGCCACAAAGAGCCTCGTCCCATCGGATGAGTACAGCTAATGCTGTGCACAACAAAAAAAACACTGACACTTTATTGTTCTCTTTCCTCACTGCTTACCAGGCAGTATTTATACTACCCTGAGATGCCCACAAGAACACAGCTCACTGTTTAAATCAATCAAACTAAGGTACTGACAGAATATCAGAAGTTGCAAAGTGTCACCTCTAACCCTTAGATACAGAAAGCTTCAATTGGGAGAAGCAAAACTTTAGGTTTGGGAAGCCAGAGAGAGGAAGAAACGCTCAAAATTAGCTGAGGTGTTTGTTCATGCAAACAAAAGCTAGAACAGATCTCAGCCACTGTGAGCAATCCTGAAGAGTCCTTTGGAGTAATTTAAGACCTGTTCTCAAAGAGTTTATGAGAAAGCACCACTTGCAGGGTTACCCTTCGGCTCCCTACCAGGACAGAACTTCCACACAGCTTCAGGGAATGTCTGTTCAACACGACCACCCTGCCATGCCCTGCAGCACACCATTTCACTTATTCCAAGATGGAAACAGGCTTTGCTTTTTAAGAAATGGTGAAACACGTGGCAGATGAGAACGCTTTCCCACTTTCACGCACAAATTAATTGAACAGATGCTGCCAGGCTGAAGCTGTAGCATGTAGATCATTAAGCTGAGACATTCAAGAAGAGTCACAGTGATAAGTCTTTACAGCATACTGCCTACCCCATGCAAAAATGTAGGCTTTCCAAAGTGGCTCCTGCTTTTTAATCAAGTGCAATTTTGTTCCACAGTGTTTTTGATTTCTGTTCCGAAATGCACGCAGGCGGCAGCACACTGACAATGCAGACAGGCAGGAATGATGCTGTAAAGGCAGCCTGCAGTACAGCCCACCTTAACAACATCCCTCAGGTTGTGACTGGGGCTAGGAGCACAGATGGAAGAAACTCGCCCTTGACAAAACCAGAGGACATCACAGCATCAATTGACAAGACATGAAGAAAGGAAGACAAAGAAAAAAAGGGCAATACGTGGTGATTCAGAAGCACCCAGCGTTAAAAAAAAAAATACATATTTGTGTTTTATCAGTAACATAATAGATGTTCCTTACAGCAGGGATGCTTCTGTCTATCCTATCATTGTAATCAAATCCATCAGCTTTTACAGGCCTACGGTACAGCCTCATTTCATTACAAACATTCAAGAGCACAGGTAGGCAATGGCATTGAGCATGTTCATTCACTGAGGTGCTGGGGCAGGCGTGCAGCAGCCACACGCAAATCCTGCACAGATACTGAGCAGCAAGGTTTAACTGTTTGCACTGAGAAGTTCCAGACTTTCAGCACACTATTTCAAATAACCTTTAAACGCTTCTCCTAAACAAGTCTGACACACAGATGACAACTTCTGGAACTACTGAGCAGCTATCCTGAATAAGCTATTAAAAAAAAAATTTTGTATCACTAACAAATTTACACCATTATCAGCTGTTGGTAGCAGGTTATTGTTTAATACCCCCATTACTATAAATAGCTTCTAGCAGATGTTCATCTAATTCATTAGGCACTTAGAATGGTTTTAATGCATTGTTTCAGGGTACCTGTTAATAAGGAATTGAGAAAACTGGTTACTGGAGCACAGCAACATAAGGCTGCAGTTCCCACAGGACAAAGCTGACTGGGGTTGTTGCTCTGAAGCCTGGTTGCAATCCCTCCCATTTGAATAAACGTAAAGAAAAAAGAGAACCAAATCATAAGATGACCTATCAGTAACATTCACAGCACACAGATGTCATCTTCACAGCAGCGCTTCACCCACATCTTACTGGCTTTTACACTTTATATCTCCCAGTGAGCTTTACTGGCCCAGCTTCTCCACCTTCAGACATCTCTCCTCCCTTTTCTTGCCAAAGCAACGTGCTACAGAAAAGCAGACACACCCAGCCCAGCTCAAGGCTCCAACAGCAAACAAGAACAGCAGCAGATGGCAAATATCAAAAGGCTACAGCATCAGTGACTGCAGCACAGGCCCCAGCTCAGCCTTCAGCAGGAAAGTACTCCGAGTGAACACAGAATAAGTAGCCTCTGCCTCAAAAAACGAGTATGCACATAATTAACACCACGCTCTGAAAAAGCTGGTTAATTACTCCAAGGAGTAAAGAGAACACAAACCCTAAAACCTTGATGCTTATTACAGGAAGGATCCATGCCCTACATCAAATAAAAGTCTTTTGAAAGCGTCACTGAGCAGCACAAAATCACTCCTCGGTTAAAATCTGAAGCATGCCCGTGTCCTCTGCCATATCCACATCGCCCCAGAGACAACCTTCCTCCTGCAAATAAGATTAATTCAACTGAATTGTACTTTACCCAAGTATTTATCATTTTAAATATTAAAACCTATTGTCAGCTGCCATTTATTATACACTTGCATGGCATCAGTGCTCTAATAGAGAGCAGTGTCTGCATGCACCACACGGAGTGATGGCTGAAGGCAGCTGTGAGGAGTAACACAAAACTGCAGAACAGTACTTAAAAAAAAAAAACCTAAAGATTTACAGTGTTTTAAGTAACATTCATTTAAAAAAAAAAAAAAAAAAGAACCGCTACTCTTTTCTGGAGCACAGTGAGTTTTCAGCACCTCCACACAGAACAGAAGAGTTGAATTACTGCTATACACAGAGGAAACAGAAGTTTGGCACTTGTAACAACTACTGTTTGTTATTGCATCCTGCACTTGGCATGGCAAATGTGCATCACCAAAACCCAGGCAGGCAGTACAGACAGTGCAGTTACTGAGCTCACCAGAGATGCTGCAGCCAAAGCAGGGAAAGCACTCCCTAAACCCTTCGCTTCTTGTTCTTCTGCATTTACCAAGTCACGCAGGCACAAAAAATACTGCACAAAAAAATTAATTAAGCTGCCTGATGTTCTCTGGAAGGAGAGTTGGTAAGAAAGCCAGGCACTTGGGAGCTCTGATGGAAACACTTGTACCTTCAGCAAGAAGTCTGACTCAGAAGCAGACGCTGCGACACGCAAGTCTTGTGCTGTCAAACACCAAAGAGATGCAAGCCTGTCTGCTCTCACCATTGAGCCAGCTTGGTAAGTTTGCCTATCGTGTAATCTCACGTTAATTTCAGTTTAATTTAAAGATGAGGCACTGTCAAAGCTACTGAAAGCCACTTGACCCAAACAGTTGAGCTGATATAGCATTTCCACAAAAGTGAAAACTTGAGGAATAGCTGATGAATTATCTAAAGATGTGCAGACCTTGCTTGCTGCAGTCCGGAACAGCGCAGAGCACAAGGCCCTACACAGGATATCCCTTTTCCAGCTTAGGAAGAGGATGAGAGTTGGAACCCCAGGGCTGGAGAGCAGTCCACGCAGGACAGGTGAGCAACAGGAACCAGGCCAGGAGTTCTGTTACCCAAAAACAATCTCTCATACCCAGGAAAAAGAATAAAAGTCTTTTCTTTTTGGGAGGGGGACTGTGGTAGGATGTGGAGTGAGGGGGGAAAAGAAACACCACCATGGCTCCTGTCTTCTGCAGCCTCCACTCCATCACTGGTGGCTTTCTGTTACAATTACCAGTTTGTCCATCCCTATCACAGTGAAGGGGAAAAAGCCACCCCTGCCGTGTGGCCCAGCCGCTGTGCGGGACCATGCTGGGCTCAGTCCAGGATACGGCCACCCCAAACCTGCAGTGGTGAACACAGTGTCAGGGGGCACAGGGATGAACATCCTGGCCCCAAGAACCTCAGCACTACGGCTGCCTGCTGCCATGATCCCCAGAAAGCAGCACAGTGCCCTGGCAGCTCACTGAGAGGACGGCTCAACGAGTTACCTGTGGGGCAACCGTGCGGATTTATGAAGGCTGATTCAAGCTGGAAGGAATTGAGCTGGACTGGCTATCAAGAGCACCATGCCAAGCAAGGACAACTTAAATAGTTACTAAACTGCCAAATCATTGGAAAACTCCTGGATTGCAAGCTGAGAAAATGCAGGAGCTGCCTCAGGTGTGGCTTGGCCATCCTGTGCAGGGGAGGCTGGTGCCAGGGCAGCACAGGGGGCTGGGTGGCAGCACCTACAAATGAACCCAGTTCAACCCTGTGGCTCAGGAAGCTGGTCAGTGCCTTCCAGTCAGTACTTCTGGAATCAAATCCTCCCTATCAAGCCAAACATCTCTTCCACCTTGCACAGAGACCAGCCATCCACCTCGCACACCATCAGCGGTACAGCAGGGCTCTCTTTAGGAAAGCAGGGCCCTGTTTTCCAGGCCCAGCTCCAACCAGGGGCACAATTTCACATTCCCAGAGAGGCACCGGTCACTGAGCATGCCAACTGACACCAACTGACACCAACTGACACTTCCCACCTTCCTCTGTGCCCAGCAGCTCTCCAGGAACCGCTCACTAACGTAACACAAAACCACAACACGCAAACATTTCCAGGCAAGGCCAACAAAGACAATTTTGAGATCTCAGGAGCGCCTACATTTTTGCCTTGAGAACGTACCTGAAACTCAAGGCGCAGGTGTTGGCACAGGGTTGGTCCCTGACCTCCAGCCACATGCTAGGAAATAAAGTTAACTGTTTCAGGTGAAGAGACTTAAGCTTCTCGGTCAAATCTAGCTGAGCACATTTGCAATACAGCTCGGTTAGAGCAGAACTGCTCGCTTTATTTACCTTTACAAAAAAAAGTAAGAATACCTACTGTTAATCCTACTTCAACTGTAAACATTTGTTCAATAACTTTAACCACAAAACACTGCTAATGTATATATGATTTGGATTCGTTATGTGCATTTATTACTTAGGCCTTCTGGACACTAAATGCCCTCAAGTGTACTGGGGAGCTACAGGGACTCAGGAGATAGCAGCCTGTAAAAGTCTACATACAGTTTCTGAGAGTTTTCTAAGCACTTAGAAAACCAAGTCCAAATACTTAGAAACATTCAATCACTTTTGAATACAGGATCTCAGCACTTTGCCTAAGAAACAAAATTAACACGAAATTTTTGAAGAGGGGAGATTTTATAGATAAGCCAACAGCACTTGATTTATTTCACATGATGGCTGAAGATGGAAATAGTGGTTCACATTTCTGTAGTAAAGCATTATATATAAATTTAAAACCTAAAGACTATATATACACACATATCAAGTTCACCGCAATGCATAAATATATAAACTTTTTTAATATGCCATCTAATAGAGGTCAGAAAATCGATGTCTACAGTTCAAGTTTTGCAGCACTTCAGCATTGTAAAAAATAAAAAATAAATAAATAATGGCCAACAGATTGATTGCTGCCCTCTCTTGTTGCCTTTTTTTTCCCCCACCCCTTTTCTCAGAACCGGAGTAATTCCCACTACACATCAGCACTGTGGAAGGACTGAGCAAAAGCAAGTTTCAGAAAGCCTCGTCAAGGAGAACCTTGAGAAAAGGAAAAACTAAAGGAACCTTTAGTTGAATGTAACTCTTGTGTGAGTTCAGGATTGTATTTCAGCAGATCTAAGGAGATTCAACAACAATGACAAAGGTTGATGCTAACACAACCGAGGGCAGATTGGCGTCTGAGGTCCATGAAGTTGCAGCGTGGAAAGTACTGTACTTAGTTATAATACTGGTTGTACAAAATCTTTTTCTGAAGGGCAGGAGGCCTCATTTCTATTTCTACCTCTCTCATTTCATTACTTTTAAATAACCTTTAAATAACTACAAGTTGCATCCCACCCATCATAAACAACAGTGAAATCAAGAAGTGAGGTACAGTGTTCTACCAGCCCATCTTTACCAAGAACAGAAGTCAGTCGAAATCACTACTGACGTGAACACGACTCAATAGGAAATAAAATGTAAGATACTGAATTCCTCACTATAACCACACCGTAAAGCCCAGCTTTCAAAATCAAACAGCAGTAAACAAGACTCTGTGCCCTAGCATGGAAATCATTAGCACACCAACTTCTGATCCCAATTCAAAATAGCCGTACAAATTTCCTGCAAGTGATAATACAAAAATCTGATTTCTGTGAAACAAATGTATCCTTGCCATATTTCACCTTTGCTCCAGAGATAAAATGTTTCTATAATCCTCAGTCTTATAAATAAAAAATAACATCCTCCTAGTTTTCAAGTGCCCTGAAGTAGGAAGGAACACAACCTATTCTCTTTAATTTCTCAAGCTTCGTTGTCTTCTACCAAGAGCAGCAGTCATCATGAACCATTCCAAAAACCATTTCCTCTTATTGCAAGGAAACGACCTCCAAAACCCCATGCAGAAACACATGCTGCCCATCTATATACCAGTTCATCAGGCTATCCAAATGTCAGCATAAAAAAACCACAGTTTACTTCTCTGCAGTATACTGCATCCATTTTAGATTAGTCCATTTTAAATATATTAAAAATATTTTTAGGAATGAAAACATTGCAAATGAATGAAAAACATATGTACACACCACCACCACTTTTAGGCACAGACCTTAGCTTTGAGGAAGGACTAGGAGTGAAAGGTGCAACAACCAACGCCTCCTGTGGCATCACAGTCAAACAGCAGTCTTTGCAGTACACCAGGGAGGTTGGTTTTCATATAGTTTTCATAATATTCTGCATATTAGAGCTATCTGGTGCAAGATAGCACATTTATTCTTATCGGTTCCCCCCAAGGGAAACGCACCTTAAATCTTTCTCTCTTTCCAATAAACTTCACCAAAGGAATACCAGCTCCCACCAGTTCCAGACACAGCAGATCTCCTTCAATAACACACTGTAAAGTCCAAATGGTTACGACTGAAGGTGTTTCCTCGATCCCCCCTCGTTTTCCCCCTCTTCTTTTTAATGTTTACGTAAGTTATTTGTTCCCGAAACAAGAACTGAGACTCAAGCTTTTTAAGCATTTAAAACAAAAACAGTTACCATACCAAAGCACAGCATACAGTGTAAGTTTCAGTTGTAATTTCTCAGCTTTTCCTTTATATAGAGCTACATATGGTGGACTGCGCAGAACTCTTCCAGTCTCCTCCACTGCCAGCACACGGATCACGGGGAAGGAACGCGGATGCGGAACAAGCCCTGCTGGAGCTGCAGTCGGAAGAGCTTGCAGTTTGCAATCCTCAAGGCTGCACAGCCAGTACGGCGAAGGTCCGACGGGAAAAGCGGCTTGGTGCGCTGCCACGTCCCCGTGCTTCTCTTAAACTCCCTAACGTAGTCGTAATTCGTACCTAAACCCACGTGTGGAGAAAGAGAGAAGAATGCTTAAAGACATACTGGACCCACCAGCACATTTCACCTCTAATAACGGAGATATGGGAACAAGAGCACGCACAGGACTGCAGATCGGCTTCTGGATACCCTGCTGAAATCGTTCTCAAAAGGAAACTGTGACATTTCTTCTATCCTAATACACATCACTTGGACTTTTACTGTTCTATATTCTGCAGAAAGCCCTGTTTTACACACACACAGCCATAAAACACGTACTCTCTCACACATCTTTTACAGCAGGGCCAGATGCTGACAGCTGTGTGGGAGGAGTACAAATGTGTTTGGCAGTACACCTGTGTGGTTAAGACTTAGAGGTAAGGGCCACTAACACAGTCAGGGACAGCAAAGGATGAGGGCCCAAAATGCAGAACCATCTGCTTACTGCTGCAAGGATGGTGCAGCAAATGGACAGATCAGTACGATGGGAAAGGCATTACAACAAAGGCAGGATGACAAAAGGACCAGCACAACAGAAAGGTGCTATGAGGAAAGGGAAGAAGATTGCTCACCTGTATCAGAAGAATCCAAGTTCACAGGGGAAAGCTTCACCAAGGAGGGATCTCCAGAAGGAGATCCTTCCCAGTGGCAGTCAGCCCTTAAATGAGGTCTAAGAGAGGTGCAGCCAGGCTGCAGCCCTTCTGCTCACACAGCTGAATTGCCTTCACCTGTGCTCCAGGACTGACCAGGTTCTTTCCCCAGGTGCTCAATCAGTGGGTCAGGCCAGGGCTCAACAGTTCTCATACAGATGGGATGAACAACCCTGGCACTAATTTTGTTCTCATATTTACATGAATGCATTAACAATCTCTTAGTCCTGACTTCTTCCAATCTTCAAGCAACAAATCAACCAAATGTTTACAGTGCTCAGTTTCTTTTTGAAGAGGTATAGCAACAACAACAAACCACTATAAATCTCTCAACATCTAGCATTAACTCTCTGAAGACAACAGTAACAATGTAATCTGATCTATGATCACAGAGAACTGAAGTTCTAGGTTCTTATTCTACGTGTATAATATTTAAAAAAAAAACAACCATACTAGAAGAAAATAAGCAGAAGTTATTAGTTTTAATTCTGACCTGTATCAAGATCTCCAATCACGTAAATGCTGGCTCCAATAGGCACAGCTCCATACACAAAAGAAGAGCTAGTTGGGATGCATAGGTTCTGGTCATTTAGATAAATCCACCTGTAAGAAAATAATAACAGAGAACTGCTGTATGTTTGTTTTTTTAATCTAGCACATAAAAAAAAAAAAAATCCAGGTTCTCTTTCCAGCCACCATCCTTGAGTCAAAAGCAGAGTGCACAAGTGACTTTAAGAACTGCTGGGAACATTGTCCAGTTCAAGACAGTCCTGGCTCCTCCTAGCTGGGAAGCCCACACAGTACTGCTATTTGTCAAGTTCTGATGCTTCATGCTGAAGTTACTTTATTTCAGAATTGCTTCACTCTATAACCCAATCTGAAACAAATTCTTACACACAACCAGTAATCTTAGGAAGACAGCAATCATGTAAGAGCCCTTTCTGCAACAGCTGCAACAATCAATTGTCCCTACAAAGACAACTTCAAGCAACTTTACCTTAAAAAAAAATAAATCAAAATCATAATTGTAATAGTCCACAGCACAGGAAATAACATGTTGCTATAGCAAGGGCTTGTCACGAAGCAATGCCTTCCCATCTATAGTTCCTCAACTTCTTCAATTGCACATCATCAGCTACAAGAATCCCCTTGCCCAGTAAGAGGAATGCAGCACTTGGCAGTGCTTCATTTTAAACAAGGCATAAAGATTAGAACTCAAAATTGTAAGAGATTTGGAGACAGAAACGTCCTCACCTCGGAATTTAAACAGAACTTCTCAATCAGGTATCAGGCTCTTCTCAATCACCTCCCAGCTCCTTCTGTAATCTTACAACTCTCCCGTGTTCCCATTTAAGATATTACATCTTAACACTACAACAGCCTGACCTTCCTACCAAGCAAAATACGCTTTTCCTTGCTGAAACCTTTGGTAGCCAAGTGAGTACATACTCTTTACCCACGGTGGCCTTTAAGGATGTCCCCTGTCTGGAGCTGTCAGTTCCCTCCATATGGCTTTGAACAAAATTTCTGCCACTGCACTTGAGCAGCTGCTGTCATAGTTACTGAAGACAATACAAATTAATGATGCTTCAGGTGACCGCTCCTGGATCGTTTATTATTTAATAATTTAAAGAGAACAGGGAAGTTGGATAAGCCTTGCCAACAGCTCCACCTATTTCCAATCCCACACCTGGTTAGTTTGAGGGGAAAGTTCAGAAATATTCTCACAGCTGACCTTTGAAAAGCCTGTATTGCCCTAACTCATGATTCAGAAGTAAGAAGCCTCCCTTCTGGCACCAAAGGAGATGCTGTTACACACCATTTGTCTTGGGACAGCTAATCCCTTAGTTTGGCTTTCAAAAGTTTCTCTCTCCAACTTTGTGTCTGTGCTATACAATAAATGATTGGGATTTTAGGAAAAGCACGGGAATGGGAAAAGCATGGGAATGTTGTCCTCTGCAGCTGTCGCAAAGGACAGCAACCAAACCATGATGAGAGGAAAGCGATCTTTTTCTGAACCACTGTAGCTCTGTTACACCACAAAACACTTTTCAGCAAGTTTCAGTAGCTCCCTTCCCTTGCTACAGGAAAGGAACAGATTCAGTAGCTTCACATTTAGCACCGTTACCTCAAATTAGGAAGGGTGCATAAAAGGCAGAGAAATGGAGGAGGAAGACTGTAGGTTTGTTGGGAAGGAAGGGGTTGTTTTGCTTTCTAGTGGTAAATACAGGCCTATGTCAAGGGAAGGAAACACATAACACTAGATGGGTTATTTTAGCTACTCATCAAGTTCAGAAATCACACGAACTCTGGGGGTTGGCTCCACTAGAAACCCAAGGTTCCAGTTTAAAGGAAAAAGTGTGGGACCCAACCGTTTTACTACTGCTGCACTTCAGAAAAGAGAGAAGAAATTAAAGCATCTGTGGTTGCTTGTGAAAATTCACTCTCAGCCTTTCTCAACACGTCTTTTAAAAGAACAGCCACAACTTTTCAGGAACGCTTACAGCAGTTTTCACAGTTAGAACTAGGAAGGAACAAAGACAGGAAGGGCAAGGGGTCACATTTCATCAGCACTTGACGAAGCTCCAGCTCAACGTGGGCTGTGCCTACTGCTGGAACAGTATGGAAAAAACACCATAAAAAAGGAATGTGAAAACACTCTCTGGAACGTAACTCTCACATGCTTCTCCAGGATGGGTCTCCTCAAACCCAACCCGAGAGCAGCGGAGGAGACGGCGCCTAAATAGAGACAAAAACAATTACTATCAAACTGAAATATGCTTCCACTGAAACCTTTTAAAAAGGGAAGAAATCTTTTTTTTTCTTTCTGTCTTAAAGTGATACAGACAAATAAATTCATCTGAACCGCTGTAAGCTGTAAGCAGGATGGTAACTTTTATTTCCAAACGGGAAGCATGCTGAGGCACAAAACAGAGCCCATGTATTCCATACACGTCACTGTAAGCTAACACGCGCTGTGAAAGGAAGCCTACAAATGAATGAAAACCTCTTCTGTGTTCCTCTTAACTGGCTGACTGATAGTGCTGTCAGATTTCTCATTACATCTGCATAAGCATTTCTTCGTAAGGAGATTCCAAGATACTGTATGTAAGACTCTTCCTAGTACTGTTACAAAATCAGTTCATTTACCATTCACGTATCACTGAAAATATCTTATTTCCATGATGGCCCATCAGCACAATAAATATTTTAAGTAGTTGTTAATTGACTGTTCAGAGCAGTTGTTAACTGACTTGTTTCAGAGCAAGCACCCCTCACCATTACTCCCCAAGATAGCAGCAAACTTCTGAATGAGGAGCTAAGGAAAACAAAAATGGTTTAGAAAACCACTCTCCACTGACAGCCCACCCGTGGCTATAGCCAAGGACATGGCACACCAACAGCTCTGGCACACGTTGCACATCTCCCACTTTCACATTTTTAAAATCAATTCTTATCTTGAGTAGTGTTTTAAAAGAGAGGATGCATGCACACAAAGCTCAACCCCTGCCTTTAAAATCTGCATCTGCAGCCTCAAGAAAGCTGCGCTCCAATTGTATTCTACTTGCCTATGCTCACTCATGTAAGTCTAAAGACAAACTGACAAAATATTTATTAACTGAAACATTTCAGTTACAGAAATTTTTCAAGTACAATATAAATTACTACAGTACTCTGTTTATATTTCATGCTTATGTTAGTATTCCATCTCACTTCATTTATCTCACTACTTGTTTATGTAGCACAGTGTAGCAGGACTCAATGTTTGTTTTTTTTTCTAGGGTGAAGAACTCTGCATATTCCCAGTCCTTGGAGGAGTCTGTATTGTACTTAAGAACTACAATTCTCAAAGACTATGCACTGTGAATTATCTTGGACTCAGTTACCATCAGAATAAAGCTAAGCCTCAGCCTTTTTACCCAATCCAAAGCAGATTTACACACTGATGTAATTGCATATGCTTATTCATATACACTAAACAAAACTTGTAACTCAGTTCCTCACGGGCTCTAGGGTTCCTAGGATGATGCTACATCCTCTGTTCACAGGTAATAAGAGCTATGACACATAAATGAGACGTGCCTATTGCTGCCCATAGCTGTGAACCACCAATATCTGAGAGCTGAACTCAGAGAACCAGAAGTGCTTCACACTCAGAAAGCACGTGATGGAGTTCTGAAGTTAATTAAACCCAGAAAACTCTGTGGTTCATTAGGAAGAATGAGATAACAACATGCAACTACTGAAAAGTCATTAGGAATTCTGGCTACAGAACCCTTCTGGACACACAGCTGGAATTTACATGCTGTGCTTTTGGCTCACTGTCATTAAACAGTCTTGCAAACGTATACCACCTTTCCACACATCTTCCCTTTTATCCTAATGCTTCTATATTTTTGTCAATCATGTCATCACAGTCAATGTGGTATTTCAGGTTTAATTAGATAGTTCCAGTACTATTTCTTCATCCTGACTAGAAAATGAATAAGCTCTTGGCAGTTCAGAGGTGCTCATTTCCCTCCTCCTGACTCCTTGATGTTGCTGGTCTGCAGGCGACCGATTACTATTATTTGTTTTAGAAACTATTACTGCAGAAATACATGCTTTTCAATAATAAATTAATAATCTGTAATAACTGCAAAACATTAAGATGACGAATCAGTCTCTGTACGTACCACATTAACTATGCACTAAGGAAAAGGAGGAACTGCCCCTAAGCAGGCCCAGCTCAGGCTCCTCAAGCCCTGCCTTGCCTCTGACAAACGGCACTCACCCTGCAAAGTGTAACTGTGTCTGGATCTGGAGATAACTACCAGTCCCTGCTGGCTGCTGCTGTAACAGACCATGGTATCACAGCACCCTCTTCTGGTAAGGAACATCACTTCTTGCTCCAACGGTGACAAAGGGCTCTCCCAAAACCAGAGGGCAGAGAACTGCTTCGAGCAAAGGCAGATCTGCAGCATACAGCCCTAACTCAAGGTCACATTAAGATGAATTTCCAAAACAAATGACATGCACTGGCAAGGCAGAAGATAAAGAGACAACCTGAGCAGCTCCCTACAAGTGCCTCCAGCTGCAGCTGGACAGTCAGACTACTGCTACCTCACCTCGTGCCAGCACACCCTTGTGGCACTCACATGACAGAAGTGGTGCAAGATCAAGAGCTGAAGTGACTGGAACTGTATTATATCTTTAGTTGAATCCTGTAACTCCCTAGGATGCCACTAAGCAAAAATAGAAATGCAGGCATTAGAAATGCTGCCTGGCAGGTACCTGTGCTGCAGACAGCAGGTGGCACCAACTCACCTGTGCTCAAACTTCACCAACCAGTGAAACAAGTTTACAGTCACTGGTAAGGAATTGTGAGCCACAGAGCACCTGAAGAATGGCATCAGCCTGGAAACATTTCCATCAAATCAACTAAAAGCAGGAGGCAGTTTGTTGGACACCATCTATTTCCAGAATTTTTCTTCTGCAAACTCTCCTGCCCTAAGGCTTATTCACTTTTAACATTTCCCCATGCCCCCAAAGGAACAGAAAACACCAGGGAGAATCAGCAGGAACTCTTATCATCTGTCTGCTTCCCATAACCACCTTGAAGTGCGTTACCTCTCCAGCTTCTTCTGGTTAGAGCTCTTTTGGACATCACTTAGAACAACAAAAAGTCAATTTCATACAGAGATTAAAGTCTCTTTATATCTGCACCTTAGAATAAGACTATATAACAAATTCCCCACTGCTATACGATTTTTATATGCTTTTATACAGGTCACATCCTAAGATGTGATCTTGTAACAGATTTAGTAATCTCCACCACAGTCAATTCTCTTTGAGATACCTGACTGCAGAGTCTTATTTCAATGTGGTTGATTAAAAAGAAAAAACAAAAAGAAATTTATAGTTAAATGCAAAAAGAAAACACTGGAGGTACAAAAGTTTTCCAATTACACCCAGAGCATAAGGTAACTTATCCATAAAATTCAGACTAACATAAGCAATGTTTTAAACAGTTACCACAGGCAGTTAAGTAGATTCTAAAACAAGAGTCAAGAGATAACAAATGAAGTTGTCAGAAGCAGATTCAAAACAAACAAGAGGAGATCAGCCACACACAGTGGTGGAGGTAACTGTGGACTGAACAGCACCCACAGCATCTTTTCTATGACAAGAATCTACACTGTTTCAAAAGCCAACTGTGACTGTTGATTTGTATGTATTCCCTAGGCTTATAGCTATAATTAGTTACCTTTTAAATTCATCATGATAAAACTCAGATTTACACGTCACCATCTCGCTGGCTTGGCTGTCATCACGACTCCTGACCCCACCAAACACATAAAGCTCAGAGGCAACTCCACAGGCCACTGCCCCAAACCTAAGAATCCAATAATGAAAAGAAAAAAAAAACAAAACCCACAAAAAACACACAGTCAGAAGATATACCAAAACATTCCATCCTTCTGAAATCTTTCAGTTTTTTACATGTATTTTTATATATACCATTTATTGATGAAATATACACATATGCACATTTACCACTACATTATGCATTTATCTCTAGAGAAAATGTTGAAGTTCCAACTGAACTATGATTTCTACTCTTCACTTTGCCTCAGGATAGTATTGCTTGTAATATGCTAAGCATACCTCTACAGAAACATTTTGATTGATTGGATACTTCTCTTTGCTCAGCCACATCTTGGCATTACAACTACAGGCCACCATGATCAGGAAGACAGTAAAATCCTCAGTGATTTCTAACAGCAATACATAGGGATTTACCCCATGAATAAAGGCAACTTTCACTCATCAGAGCATCAGCACTTCAGTGTTACAAAGGCCACACACGTTATCAAACACACAGTGACACAGCACTGATGACATCATCAGTCAACTCTTCCTTTACTTAAAAACAAACAAAAATAATACTGGTGCTTCAGTGACTATTCTGGGGGGTTCTGACTGAATAGACTCCAGCAGTCTAGCCATCCCTCTCCCCTCCCAAGCTCCATCTTCACCCACCTTCTCTCTTTCAGAGGACAGATGGCCGTCCACTGTTGAGTCCTGGGGTCGTAACACTCAACAGACTCAAAGAGCTTTCCATAGGAGCCTCCACCCATTGCATAGATTTTCTTCTTCATAGCTGCATAGCAGCCAATCTCAAAAAAGAGAAGAACACAAGATTACCCACAAATGCATTATACCAAGAGCTCAAAACTAACCATACACACACTTACATGTATTGTGCACAAATGTTTTCAGCCATGGTTCTAACATACATAGACAAGAAATGCGCTCTCATTCCCATGCTACTTACTAGTTTCTAGTTGAAGCAAAGCCTTATGATACACAGGATGGTTGCAACTGTTTAACAGCAAGGAAGGTGGTAACATACAAAGTAATTCTTACCTTTCTAACCATAGTCAAGTCTGGCTGCTTGGTCCAGGTACGGTTATAAATATCATAGCTCTCCATAGAGATCAGTTCCCTTTCACCATCCTCGCCTCCCAGAATATACAGAATTCCATCAATCTCCACCACACCAAAATTATGTCGTGCCTAAGGAATATCAATGAGGTTAGCACTGTAAAAAATAAGTGCTAACTGTGAACAGTCAATACAATCTTCTCTCGTGTCTCTCAGCCCAATGATACTGGTATCAATTACTACAGTGTTTTTTCTATGTATATATTTTTTAAATACAATGAAGTCTGAATCTCACAAATAAGATTATTATATTCTCCAATTACAGAATATAAAGGATATTCAAAGAAAAAAAGCAAAGAGTAACAAAAGCAACACTGAAGAAATCTAATAACAGAGCTTGGCCATATTTCAGTTTGCACAGCAGTGGTCTCCAAAACAAAGCTGTTGCTTTTCAGGTCTCTACTCTCACAATGCATCACAACTACAAATGTGGATTTCCTCTGAGCTCAAGTACAGGCACTTGACAGCAAGGAATTCCTGAAGTTCAACTGCACAGCAAGCTCTTCAGTAACAGTTTGTCTTTGCCAGTCCTGCAGCCATTAACAGGCTAATGGTAGCAACAGGGTATAAGCAGAAAGCAATCCCTAGCATGACTCTGAATGCATAAGATGCAAATGATCAGAGATTCAGATAATAATTCTGCAGAAGCAGAATTTTGTCAAAGTAGAAAAAAAAAAAATCAACTCCAACAGTTAAACAATGATCTTGCCTCATTCATCGGTGGCAAGGAACTCCAGGAATTGGTGTCTGGATCGTATTTCTCTCCAGAGCTCAGCGTTCCCTTGTTTTCATCCTGACCACCGAGCACAAATAAAAATCCCTCTGTAAAACAAAAAGCGACGTGATCTTAAAAACAGGACTTGTGTTCACTGAGCAAGGCAACAAGACTGGTGAGCTGTATCCTACGTTTGCTGAGTTTCAGAGCAGTCACAGGTCACGCTCTGGACTGCAAGAAGTAAAGTTCTACCCACACTGAAGCCTACCGCTGCAGATACTCCTCAACACATTCAGTGATGCAGCAACTAGAATTCACTCAAAACACAATACACTCCTGGAAAAACAGATGAGCAGATTCCAACAGATACTTAGGGGATGGTGACTATAAGACACTCATATGACAGGGATTTTCACAGAATAAAGTGATGTTTTGGGCAGACAAAGGGGAAGCATGAAATAAGCCCAGTGCAACGTAATCTTAAACAAAAAACATATATAAACTGTATCTCATATTTTGAGGCACTGGTAAGTTTCCATAATACTGCCTTTACAAAAACAAAGCTCCCCTTTACCTGCTGACAACACTCCATGATTGATCCTTGGAATACTCATAGGAGCAAGTTCAATCCAGAGCTGTCTATTGGGATCATAAAGAGGACACATACACCGCATCACTGAGGTTGGTTTCCGGGATCTGAACACAAGGTGGGGAACAAACAAAACCAAAGCACAGTTTTACAAGTTCACCATTAACTAACTACTTGTATCTAAAGCTATGCTGTCCACAACATACATTCATAAAGTGCAGCATTTCCCTGATAAGGTAAGTTTAGTTTTCTACACACTGGAGACATAAGAAGCAGGCCCTCCTCATTCATACTGCATTTACCTGTATTATTTTTTTAGGAGCAGATTTGAACAAAAGAATGGATAGAGATTATCAGTAACCTCTCAGCAAAGTGACCTACAAACTGATGAGCAAAATGTTATTTGAATTGTAATAATGAGCTATCTTTTAGAGTGCTGCAAGTACTAGAACTGCTCCGGCACAGAAAGGGATTATTCTGTGACACACCAATTTTCACCTGGCACCTCAGGAGCACCAATAATGACTTTACTTTAGAACCACAGCTGTCGTAGATGAAACAGTTAAAGTATATGCTCATTATCTTTCAGGTTACTATAGATGCTTTTTAAGATGATTAGAAAAGTGTTTCTCCAAAGTTCTGCACTTGTTTTGAGTACAATCTATTGAGTAAGAAACAAAAAACACCAACAAAGCAGCCAACACAACTGATACCAAACAAACACCACATCCTACTCCAAGTCAGAGGATTATCACAAAACAACTACTTACTGCTGAACCACTCGAAAAATATCTCAGGTGTGGCTGAACAACTCCAAACCAAGTTCAAATGATAGGGTAACGAGCACACTGAGGTGCAAATACTGACTCCACGCTGCATTCTCAGACCTAGACGCTCCACCTAGATGCTTCTATTTGACCATTCGTACCAACCTGCAGTGCCACTCAATACTTACACTCTTTCTTCCCCACCGACAGTCACGATGCACTCTGAGTAGCCACGGGGCTTGAAGGAGGCCAGCATGGCCTCTCCCTGCTGAGGTGGTGTGAGTGGGATGTTGTTGCATTCTTTTACAATCTCCCGTACCAGTGGTTCGCTCATCATCTGCTCACGTAAATACGCAGCATCCAAGCCTGAGACCCACACTGCTGACATGACATCCTTCATGTGAACCTACAGAAAGAGACCAACTCAACATTCCCAACACTCCATGGAATGACACTAAGGCATTCACACACACATTAACAAAAACTTTAAAGAGCATTTCTGATATTTGGAAGTAGTAACAAGATCTACTGCAATGTTACTAAGAATTCTTTGAAGTCTCACTAGAAATGTGCTAGTTGCTTTCTCTCTCTGAGAACAACATTATATCATTAAGTGTCAAAGGGTTTCTTTCTTCTTTTTAATGCCTATTAAATAATAAAGACAGGAAATAATATATCATCAGCACAGCTTTCTTTCATGCTTTTACTACAATCACAGAGTCTGCATTTCTGGCAAAATTCAACTCTATAAAAATCAGATTAGCTCTGAAAATAACATTCCTGGAAAACAAGACTTACAAGGAGCAGCTGAGAGAGCAGGGATTTAGTATTGAGAAGAGGAGGCTCAAAGGAGAACTCGTTGCTCTCTACAACTACCTGAAAGGAGGTTGCAGCAGAGGAGTCAAGTGACAGGACACGAGGAAACTACCTGAGGTTGTGCAAAGGGAGGTTTAGATTGGATGTTAGGGGGAATTTTTTATGAAAGGAGTTGTTAGGCATTGGAGCGGGCTGCCCCAGGAGGTGGTGGCATCCCCAGCCCTGGAGGTATTTCAGGGTCACGTGGACATCAAGCTGGGGGGCATGGTTGAAGTGGTACACTTGGTAGTGTTACATGATGGCTGAATTCAATGATCACATGAGTTTTTTTCCAAGCTAAATGACTCTACCTGAAGTTCCCACCCATTAGAATAAGCATACTGATTGAAGTCACATTCAAAAAATAAACCTTTTAGTATCCTGACCTTTCTCGATTCTGAATCGTGAGAAATCCACCTAATCACTGCTTCAAAGACGTATCTTTCATTTCCAACATTGAGCTTTTCCATCGACAGCACTTCTTTCAGTTTTTGAGGAGTCAGTTCCAAGAATTCCTCTGTGCTGCTGACATCTCGAAAATGAGTTTCCAGATACTCTGAGGCAAGGTAGTGAACATGATGCAAACAATAGTGCAGTGCAAAGTCCCGAATACCAATACAGTTCTCAGCAGCTATGCAACCTTCTAAAAACTCACAGCAGAGAGTTTTTAAGTCTGTAAGCAGCAGGAGATCAGCTGCCTGTACCACATCTTGGATAGTTTCTTCATTTAGCCTGATCTGCAAGAATTAATTTAGAAGTTATGCTACTATCACCCATTTGCTTCATGACATGTCCATATTCACTACAATCATTCTCAGTGGCTGGGAAATGGAATATTAACAGCATTGCAAAAGTTATGAGAAATCAATACGACTACTACACGTATATAAATTAATCAAGGAATGGGAAGGGATTGGATTGACAGAAGGTGTCACTGCAGGATTTTGCACCCCAGGGAACCATGAAATTGCTACTCTCATCTGAGAACCTGTAATGAATTTTTCTGCAATAAATTAATAGTCTTTAAAAAAAGTGAATGTCCAGAAAAGAATCTCAAGGCATATCTGCTTCTTTGCTTCTGCGAAAAGCTTAAGCAGTTCAGCAGTAACTCTGGTTCTGAACGAACTGCACACATTGATTCCTGCTAAGGCTACTGGAATTAAGACACAACGGGCACATGGCAGGATAACCAGATGTGAGAATGCCTGCAGTACTTCAATACATGGGGTCAGTGATGTGGTCTCAGCCTCCATTGCTGTCAATCCAGTATTCTTTTCTGGTAGTGGTCTGTTTTAAAGCAGGTTACTAAACAGTGAACAAGCACAAGTTACTAAACAAAAACAATTACTCAAAATGGAATTTTTCAGAGTCCTCCTCCATGGTGCGACATGAAAGAACTCCTTGCAGAACTTGCTGCCTCTATTTCATGGGCAGAGCCTATGTAAGATGTACCACTCTGCAGTTGCTTCATCATTAATCTTTAAAGAGTGCTTCCCGATGGATTTGTCTTTCAGTATAGTACTGTTAAAACCCAGATTATTTTGTCAAGCAATCCAATTTCCACCTAGTTCTTTTTAATACCATACCTGTCCACTGAAGATGTAATCTAGTATCTCTTTCATGATATCAACAGATATCCCTTCAAGTTCAATCTTGTATGTTGAGCCATCATCCTTTGGAGGATTATAATTCAACTTCGTCCTAAGAGAAGAAGGGAAGATGAACCAATAAATAAGAAGCACTCATGAGCTGGGCACAGCATTTCTTTCTAAAGAAAAATGACAGCAGGCAAGCTGCAAATTACATTTGCTGAAACAGAAATGGTAAAACCTTACAACATAATCTGAAAATTGGCAAGAAGAGACTATATGCATGCTCTCTGGTACTGCTTATCACATGTGCAGACAGAACAAGCAGGCTAGCCTTGGAAACTACTTATGGCATTGGAGAGCCAAAGCAATTTTCTCCTGGCTCACTCATCCCAAGCATTCACAAGCATCACTCAAAGCTTCAAACAGAAGGGCAATTCTGCTGACAGATGAAAAAAGAATCTGCTTTGGTAAAGGTGAAACAAACTAACAAACAGCCCCCGGTGGTTCCCCCCCCCCCCCCCCAAAAAAAAAACCACCCACACTGGAATGAGCACAGGTGACCAAATGTACACTGGCAGCACAACAGGACCATTCTGTCTGGTTTATGAAGTTATCAGATCAACGTTACGACTGGCTTTCAGCTGCACTGTGTGCTCACAGTTCCAGGAAACAGACCATGTTCTGCTCAGTCAAGCTGTAAATATTCATCTATGTCAGCAGACACATTACTGGTGAGCAGTCTCTTCAAAAATCCCAGGAAGTTTGGATGTGCTTTTGAATAGAACAGAGAACTGAAAAACACCTCACATTGCCACTGTCTTCTGTTATCCACACTCACACCAAGCAGATACGACCTAGTTAAGGGCTAGATGCTGCTTCACTTACACTCAGAATTAATCATCTCAAAACATGCAACTCACATCAAATAAAATCTGAGTTATAAATAGTTATGAATAGTTATTCTGAAGTACAAATAAAGATGGCAATTTCAGCCCTCCACCATATCTGCTGCTTTGTTTTCACATTGCTCTTCTAAGCTGTGAGCAAAACTCTGTCAGAAATACCTGCTCCAATTCATGCACATCACTGCAACAGCACTGACACTGAGCTGCTTTGCTCTGTGTTTGTGTAGCACCTCACACAAGTAACAGAACAACAACATCATTTGGATGAGCAAATTGCTTATTTCCTAACTCCTGGAATGAGATTAGGAAAATTAAACACCTTCTGTAAATGGCCCACATGACTCCCAATCATGTTGAAAGAACAGACACTGATCTGTGAACTTACATAGCAAATGTAGGGCTCAAGCAATTTCGTGCAACTTGTCTCCCAACCCACCCCTTCCTGCCCATGGGAAACAGGCATTTCCCACACCTACAAGCTCCAAATGAAGGAAAGAGCATATGCACACACACCAACATCCATTCCCAATTCCAGGGTTAGGTTTCTACACGCAGATTTTTCAAGTCTATCCAAATTACCTCAATTTTATGTATGTTGGTTACACTTGAGTTCAGGGTTTCTTGCTTGATAATGAAAGCTATTCCTTATTTCCTGGGACAAAATGGCATTTTTGTTCAGTAACACCAAACAGATCTACATTTGCAGTATCTGGCTTCTTCCCAGGAACAGCAGCCAGATGGGATCCATTCCACACCAAGCACCTATGTGCAGCAGCTACGGAACCACACCAAACCAGGGCAGCCAATGCACTGTGGGTTTTAAACCGAGTGCAAGCATATAATAAACACATTGCATGGCAGCACTAATGGGGAGATTAGGGAAAGGACTAGCACTGCTTATCACTAACTTTCATCTCAGCATCACCAGCCCACACCCAAGCTAAATCACCTCCTTGCACGGACTTTACACTGACACCTCCTAGTAACAAGGAAGCATTGCCCACAGCTTTGGGGTCTTATCAGGCTCTGTGTTCTATTTCCTGTGTACTCCTTCAGGGTACAACAGTTGTTAACCTGAAAAGTAACAAACCAATTGCAGATGCCCAAAACAAACAGAGCAGAGAAAATAAACTTGAGAGCACATGGAGAAGTCTGCACAGTTACAGACTCTTGTGTGCAGTCAAACACTCACAGTATGCAACTGTGGCCCGCTCAGTTTCAGACGACGCTTTGCTGTTTCTCAGATGATAGGAGCAGTTTTCCATCTGTGTCAGAGCCTTAATTTGCTAGCTAATGAACTTGAGGCTCTCTGTTTCGGCACAAAGGTATCTGAGCCATGACACAAGAACCACTCCCAAACAGCAGCTGGATGGGATAGCGGGGCTTAGGGCTGGAAAAGGCTAAGATAGAAAACTGAGTGTAGCAGTTCAGAGAAATCTGGAAGAGGAGAAATTAACAGGGTATGTAAGAGGAAGGAACAGGGACCTGCCTCCTCTTGCACCACCTGCATCCATTCCTCACCAGCAAGAAGAGAGCTCAGGTATCCTGGTCACAGCACATCCAGCTCTCAGAACTGGGAAGTTTCCAAACACGTTTGTTCCCAGCTCAAGTAGAGAGCAGACAGCAGCACGAGCAACACATAACCCCAGTTTTCTCCATTAAACTTCAATCTAGAAGAAAGCTTCCAAACCACGCTTGAGCAAAGGTTTCCAGTCTGTGAATATGCCAGGAAGGATGTTTGCTTTCCCTGCCAGCATGCTCTTTTCCATAGCGATTCATTCTTCCTATGATCTGCATGGATGAAATCTGGAATCCAACAACAAACAGCGACGCACTACGGCTGCTTCTAATGCATGCATGTGAGAGCTTCCTACTAAGGACAACATTTCTGATGACTTTAAAAGCACTCTAATTTGCCAAACCATTGCATAAATAGCTGCCTCGGTCTTCCTCATCTCAGATGAAAGACCAGACCATCCAGATTTGGAAGGAAATAAAACCTCAAGGCACAGAGCACAGCCCAGATGCATACAGAGCTAGGGGAAAACAAAGCAATGGAATTTCTTAACCTTATTTTCTCACCTAATTCAGTTTTGAACAGTTTGACTCCATGCATGCAAACAAGCGCTACTGTGCCGTGCTTGATGTTGTGTGGCTGTCACAGACAAATTTAGAATCTGCTCTTCCACGTCACTTAAGGAGCACAGTCCTAATGAGTCACCTCAGATGTCACCGCATAACGCACAGCAAGGAAAAACACTCCAACATCTCTTCTTGAGACGTGAGCAATAGCACCAGCAAGGTAAATGAGAGCAATGCAGCCTCCAAAGAGAACACTTCAGGTTGCAGTTACTTGAGTAGATTTAAAATATCTGTAGTGAAGAACAATCAGAAATTAGGAAACAAAGCTAGTTGCTTTGGTTTTGGTGCTCTGCAATAGGAGAAGACCAGAGGTTAAAACAAAACTTTTGCCTACTTGGACATCACCACACTGCTAACAATGCAGCTCTGCAGAGCTGCTTACACAGCTGTGAGAAGCCAGAACTCAGGAGGGAAGAGGGAAATGCTCTTCTTTTTGAAAGAAGCTGCCTTTCCAGATTACTGATTTAGTGATTAACTCCAGATTAGCCACAAGGGCCAGCCTACACTGCACAGGCTCTGCCAATGGACACTACTCTATCTCAGCACTAAGGAAAGAAGGCTATCCTTCTAAATCAAGGCACAATAAAATCCATTTGTGCTGACACATCCCTTATCTGCACTAGTGCTGTGACCTTCACAAGAAGGCATTTTCAAATGGAGCTGTATCTCTAACAAAAATTTCTGGCAAAGCTGCACCCCAGGCCAGAAGGAGATGGCCATGGGATGCCAGAGAGCACCAAAAATGCCAAGTTAAGTACATCATTGCTCCTCATCAGTAGGGAAAAAAACTTTCAAATTCTGGTTTCAGTGCAAACATAACGTCAGCAAACATCATTTTATCTCTTCCTTACCCTGGCTGAGTCTTCACACTACAAGCTTACTGGGTTAAATCTAACCCCTGCTTAACTTCACCATTACATTGGCCAATTCTTTCTCACATCTGCCCTTCTATCATAGAATGGCCTGGGTTGAAAAGGACCTCAAAGACCATCTGGTTTCAACCCCCCTCTATGTGCAGGGTCGCCAGTCACCAGACCAGGCTGCCCAGAGACTGGCCTTGAATGCCTCCAGGGATGGGGTATCCACAACCTCCCTGGGCAACCTGTTCCAGTGCATCACCACCCTCTGTGTGAAATGTTCTATCTGCAACATTTTCCTTCCAGCCAGGCTGATCTTTCTGCATGCAAAGAACTTTAATAATTACACCGTTAAATAGGTCACACACAACAACATGATGCAGCAGTTCACTCCACCCACTGCCCTCCTCCAACACTGCACTTTACAATCAAATGAGAGGCTCTCCTGGAGGTTGCACCCTGGCCTTCAGCAGTGCACATAAAAGACTGACTGTCTTCACCACACCCTGGAAAGGGTGCCAGCTCTCAGTGCGTTTTGGCTGTGCCTTCACTAGGTCTTTCTTTTTAAAATCATCTGTAACTGCAACTTCTGGTCGCAAGGCAAAATATTCCACCCAACAGCTCAGCATAGAGATCTGCACAAGTTGCTTCCTTTGGTTTAAAGGGGAACAAAGAGGAATAACCTCAACTTTTCAACAAAGAGAAAAATTCAGGCAAAAACCTAACTTACAGTCGGACTAGGAGATGTTGGAGGTCTTATCCAACCTTGGTGATTCTATGATTAAGGCTTTTTTCCCCCTCTCTCTATAAGAGAAAAGTGAAACAAAACAAGAAGCGACTCCTTCAACAGCAGCACAGGGTGTGTTCACAGCTGGTGGGCTTCCCCCAGTGAACTGCCTGTTTACCCCAAATATCTGACTATGCTGAGCTCGCCCAGAGCCAGGCTGCAATCTCAGTTGGCAGCCTCCCCTCAGCCAGCACGTCCTGCACAAACACAAGGTTAGCATTAAGCAGATAGAACACACACCTGACTAGAACAGCCTCCAAGCAGGGACTCCTGGCTTTAGGGCTCACCCCAGAGCTGCGTAGAGCCAGGCCTCACTGGGTCGTGTAGCTGAGGAGAGCAGGCCTGGCTGCCACCTCCTCATAGGAAAATGACGATCACATACCTTCCTGTAAAAGAAACACCTCTGAAATGTGGTATT